GGGAATTAAACCCATGGCTCCATAAACACTAGGCAGGTACTCTACCACTGAGTTACTACTCCACCTATGGGTGGCTTTTGCATACCTGTCAGGAGGGAACTAAATCTATCCCTTCACACAAGGATATGTGGGCATTTCTGACTTACCCTCGAAAGGCCCGTGGGTATCCTACCCCTGTGAATTTTCCGGCCACTTCACTAAGAGGTCAGTGGGTCATGATGCTAGAGCCACTTGTTCTAATTGTGATTGTCCTTCATGTCTTTTCTTTTCTGCCTCCTTTTGGTTTATTTGAACATTTTCCAGTGTTCCATTTGAATTTCTCTGTTGTGATATTTTAGGGGCTGTCTTGATTGGTTTGTTTTCTTTAATATGTGTTATTTTGTGGCCTGGGCGTCTGTGTTAACTCCTATCTTTAGGAGTTAAAGGACAATCATTCATTTGCACTGACAGCCAGCACTTCTTACTTGGCCTCCAATTGCCTTGGGCTAACATGGTCCTCTAGGGATTATCCTAGAACGAGTGTGCTCGTAAGGAGTTCTCTTCCATTTGTACTAGAGATCAAACCCAGAGCGTGGCACACACTAGGCACACACTGTATGAAAACTTTTTGTTTTGTTTTGTTTTGTTTTGTTTTGTTTTGTTTTGTTTTGTTTTGTTTTTGATCTACATTCCTGAGATGTATTTCTGCTGGATGAAGAATTCTGTTTTGGCCTCTCTTCTGTCAGCCGTGGTCTTTCTTCTTTTTCCCCCATGTGCCGTGTGTGTGTGTGTGTGTGTGTGTGTGTGTGTGTGTGAGAGAGAGAGAGAGAGAGAGAGAGAGAGAGAGAGAGAGAGATTGAGAGAGAGAGTGTGTGTGTTAGGATCCTGAGGATGGGAAGCTTAAACCTTTGAGTCATGCTCACAGGCCCTGATCTCTGCTTATCACATGTCTTTGGTCTTCAATACTTTTTTATTCTGTTGTCTTCCTTCTGCGGTTTCCTCCATCTGATGCCCTCTTACTTTATATGTTTAATGTCATTTTTAGCCTGAAAATTTCCACTTGGTTTCCTTTATACCTCTTAGTTCTTTGCATAACATTGCCCTGTGCTTGAACTGGGGATCGAACACGGGGTCATGTACCTGTTCCACCCCAGCAATTCTTCACTTGAGTCTGAAGCTCCCCGAATCACTCAGACTGGCTTTGCCCTCCCTGTGTAGCCAGGGTTTGAACTTGCAAAAGTCCCGCTTCGGCCTTCCTGAGAACTGAGATGGCAAGCCTTTGCACCAGGCTGGCTTATTTTGTTCTTTATTTTCTGAAAACTGGACTAACCTGACTAAGCTGGCCCTCCCTTCATAGAACTTGCCGCCTCAAACTTAAACACTCCTGCCTCTACCTCCTGAGTCCTGGAATTCCAAGCAAGCATCATCACATCCAACAAAACTTTGTCTTGCTCATTTCAAGAAAACGTACTTCAAATACTGTTGTGGGGATTTTTCTTTCTGAAAAAGTTGATGGGTTGGGGCCATGACCTATACTTTCTGTGCTTTTCTATAGTGAAGGCAGGATGTACAAATACAAGCTTATGCATGGAGAAGGTTTGGTGCCCTTAGGATATCAGGGGAATGACAGTGCTCTGTGCACATGGCTGGATGGCTGCTTCCACCCATTCTCCTCATTGTGTGCTTGGGAAGAGGACTAAACTTGTGATTCTGAGACCTGGATGTGAGTTTGCTCCATGGCTTTCCAGGAGCATCAGTCTGGCAGGCACCATCTCCTGAGGTGGGACTGATTCCTGTTGTACCTCCCGCTCGAACACTCTGGGGTTCTGAGATGTAGGGGGAACAATCCCATAAGACCCAGGTTGGTCTTAGGGCAACAGAGGTGTGCTACCGATTTGTCCTCTTGCCATGTGTGACACAGCACCTGACAAGGGAACTTAGGGAGGGAGGGCTATTTTTGGCCCTCAGTTCTGGAGTGCAGTCAATCCTCCATGGTAAGGGATTCATGGCAGCAGCGTCCTGTGGTCAGTCACATGGCCTCCATGGTGCGGAAGCAGAGGGTGGGGAATGCTTCTGTTCAGCTAGCTTGCTTTCTTCTTCCTGTGCTGTCTGAGACTCCAGCCTCGGGGACAGTGCTGTCCACAGTGGAGGGTCTTCATACCTCGGTGACCCGAAGCTTTGATTTTAAAGCGGTTCTAGATCTTTAGTTTCCAACCAACGTAAGGCAGCACAAACGGAGAGTGTTTTCTATTAGGGTGAGCACAGAATCTTAGAACTGTTGGGGAACAAGAGCAGTGTTGACAAGCGCTCACTTCAAAGCACCGTCTTCAAGGGAAAACTAGGTGGGTTTGACTCAGTGAGAGGTCACATTCTATATCACGAAGAGGGCAATATTAACATATTTGTATTGCAGATGAGAGCAACTTCCGTAGCTGAAGTCTCCTTGGGCTAGGGCTAAGTGTTAAGCATGCACAAGGCGCTAGCTCCCGTCCATGTGCCATAAAAATTAAAATCCATTTGTTTGGTTGGAGTGAGAGGTAGCTCATGCCTATAAGCCTGGCTCTTGGGAGGTAGAGACAAGATCAACAGTTTGAGGCCAGCCTTAGCCACATGAATCCCTGAAGGTTTGTCCTCGCCCCCGAGTCCCTCCTACTTCAGTTTCCCCAGGTCAGGTGGCTCCTGGGTTCCAGGTATGCAGGCGTCTCCTGGTCTGTTTGGGGGCTGCTCTGCTCCTCCATCACCTTCTCTCTGCTCTCCACAGCTGCTTCAGCTCTCAGCCACTGCTGTGGAGAAAGGCCGCAGCGTCGGGGAGGTTCTGCAGTCGGTGCTGAGGTATGAGAAGGAGCGACAGCTGGATGAGGCAGTGGGAAACGTCACGCGGCTGCAGCTGCTGGACTGGCTGATGGCAAACCTGTGATTGGGGCCCACCCGGTGTTCCCGCAGTGGGCCGAGTCCCCGCCCCCTCAGCCCCCTCCCTGCCGCACAGAGCCCTAAAGTTCCCTCCGTACCATGCACACTAGACACGCCATCTAATGCTACTCACTGGATTTTGCAGATTTTCTTGTCCATGCGAGCAAGGACATAAATTAAAGATTACAGTTAAAGGGCAGCGTGAGTGTGGCTCGCATTTGTTGGAAAGGTAAGGCTGCAGCCTCCCTGAGGAAGCTGTCAGACAGAGGAGGGCAGGGACAGGGACCAAGAAGAGTGGCCTACTCACCCACTGGGTTCCATGCTGTCCCTAGCAGTGAGCTCATTAAACTGTTCCCTTAAAATAAGCCACAACTGGGCTTATTTCATTTCCATCCTTTAGAGTCACAAGAACAGCCAATCAGAATCATTCACATGTGTTGTGGGTGTGACCACTAGTGTCCAGTCTACAGAAGCTGCAGAACCACTGCCACCTCCAACTGTACCCACAGTTCAAGGTATCGGGGCACTTGGTGTGGCAGATGGAGCCAGTGAGATGAAGCCTAGTTTCATCCCAGTGGCAAAAAAAGAAAAAAAAAATGGTTCTACAGCTGGGTTCTCAGTGCTGTTTGGGGATACAGGCCAGCAATGTTCACACTTGGGTAGTGGAGGCAGGAGGATCACATCGAGTTTAATCTAAACTACATTTATTTATGTATTGATTGGTGGGCAAGACACGTCTGCCACAGCCCAGGTATGGAGATCTGAGTTCTCTTCTCCTCCGCAAGGAAGAAAACCAACCCATTCATCAGGTTGGCAGCAGCAACCGTTTCTACCCACCCAGCCATCTTGCTAGCCCAGGTTCTTATTTTTATTTTTTTTTACATTTGTTTATTGATTCATTTTAAGGGATGCAGCTAATGTTTCTTGTTGCGAGGTGGGCTCTAAAATAGCCTACCTCACCCAGCGCTGTCTGAGTCCTGGCCAATTGAAACACTGTTGCACCCAGCCTTTCACGCAGTTGCTAGGGACCACACTCAAGACCTCTAGCAACTGAGCAGCATCCCAGCACCAGGACTGGATGTGAGGAATCCCTCAACTTCCAGGCTGAGTCTGTCATCAGTACAAAGGGGAAGGGGAGGGGAGTGGAGGGAAGTGAGGCAGTCCTAACAGAGGAACAGGGAGTCTGAGCTCCACCGTACAAACCAATCAACTGGAATGACATCAACCACCATTTTCAAACAAGAATCCCAGGCCAAGAGCGCAGCTCAGCTGGTGAGAGGTTTGCCACATAGCATGAGGACCTGAGTTATCCAGGACCAATGGAGAAGACCAGACCAACGGAGACCAATGGAGAGCTCCAGAGATAGCTCAGCAGTGAAGAGTATTTGCTATAGTTCAAGAGGACCAGTTCAGTTCCCAGCACCCACAGCAGGCAGTTCACAACCCCTGTGACTCCAGCTCCAGGGGATATGATGCCCTGTCTCTGCTGGACGCCTTAGGTACCTGCTTATACATGGCAGGTTTGAACACAAGTGTGCGCATGGACACACATGCAGAGAGACACATATATGCACACTGATAGAAATAAACCATAAAAAGGCCTGGCATGATGGGGCACACTTGCAATCCCAGCACTAGGGAGGCAGAGACAGAGCCCTGCTCAGTTGCCATCCAGTCCAACCTACTTGGCAACTTTCAGGCCAGTGAGAGATGGTCCCAGGAAACCAGACGTTATCTTCCCGTTATCTAACCTGTGGTTATCTTCTAGCCTTTACATGTACCTTCACACACACACATACATATACTTTCCTAAACCCCACAGAAGAAGCAGTATCCCTATTATATGTGTATAAGCTGATACACACAGGGGTAAAATTGTACACTAACAAAGCAAAACAATCCTGATTGGCACAGGTCGACAGTCGCGAACAAGAAAAGATCTGGTTTTATTTAGAGCTTCATCAGTGAGTCTGTAGCATTCAGCACACACACCTCTACACACATATACACATACCCTAGAGAGGTGAGTTCAGGTAAAGGCCACTCCTCCTCCCCCAGCCCCACCAACCTCCTCTGGAGGAATCATGCCAACTCACCGGGTGAGTAGAGTCTGATTTTTCTTACAAACCTTTATGCATTAAAAAAGCAATGTGAAGTATTGTACAATCAAAGTGCCTTCTCTCATACAAATCGATGGCGGAGGGGAACAGGACACGCCCTCCACAGGGGTCACATGATGGCTGGTAAAATGTTTGTGCTCTTGGGGGAGGAGGTGCTCTGTTGTTCTGTGGACATCTCTGACCCAGCAACAGTCTCTGGCTTTCCAGAAGCTTCTGCTAGATGAGGTAGCTGGACGGTGTCTGCTGTGTGCTGGATAGAGCTCTGCTGTTTGCCCGAATTCTCAAGGTGTTTCTCAGCTTCGTCTTTCAATTTGTCTGTAGTTTCTTTGGTGGTCTCATCTGCCAAAGGAAGGAAGGAAGTGACAAAAAGCAATCCTTCAAACGCTAGCCACTGTGTGTTCTAACTCTGCCACTAGGCTCTACACTGCTTGGGGGAAACTGAACATTAGGCGACCAGCATTTTTTTTTTTTTTGAGCACCTTATAATCACTTTCCTAAACCCCACAGAATAAGCACTGTTCCCAGTGTCATGGGTGTTTATGCTGATATATAGAGAGGTAAATTGCCTAAAAGCCACATCCGGGACTGTAGAAGCAGGATTTAATCCCACTCAACTTGAGGCTGTTGAACTGTACTTACTAGACCACAGTGCAAAGAAAAATTTGCCTCATGCCATTCTGTGTCATTACAATAATGTAAAGGAGGCCGGAGAGATGGCTCAGAGTGTAAGAGGTCACTTTGCCAGAGGACCAGAGCTCCACTCCCAAACCCACACACAAGGTTACAGCCACTCTTTAACTCCAGCTCCGGAGGATCTGACACCCTCTTCTGGGCTCTGTGGGCACACCCATGCACAAATAATAAAATCCTTTTTAAAAGAACATAAAAGGTAAAACGGGGTAAGCATAATGCAAAAGAGGAAGGAGACAGGGAATTGGATGTCTCGAAATGGAAAATCCTAATGGCAAGAGGCCAAAAGAGAAACATAGCTAAAACTACATTTTTAAGTCTCCTGAAAGAGAAAACTTAAAAACAAGCAATGGTGATCTCAAGGTGGTGTCCCCAGAGCTAAGTTACCCCATGTCCTGGGCACACACTGGGGCTCATCCACCCGTGCTGGTTCCAAAGACTGTACCTTTTTTGCCTTTGTTGGTATGTTGCTCTTCAGTTTTCTCCTTGCTTATCTCAGAGGAAATACTGACACCAGGCTTCCTTACTGTCTGTGGCCTGGGCCGTGGTTTGAATTTCCTTGGCTCATGAATCCAGGCATGCTTGAGGGCCTGGTCAGGGGTCATGCGCAGAGAAGGCTCCCACCTGGACACCAAGACAACACAACATGGGTTGGTTATTGCTGACTTTCCCTTTTCATAGTAAAACACTTTCTAAACCAAACCAAGATGTTTTTCATTTTGGATGTCTCTCAAAGACAGCAAAAAACAGAGATGAAGACATAACTGTAAAATGGCTACAAACAACTGTGGATATTTTTCTAAGAAAAGCTGCATAACGAACCAGGTACTATATCAATACCAAATTCTCTAGGATCCCTAGAAATCCTCTTACAAGAAATCTTGTTCAGGGCTGGGGATGTGACTCTGTGGTAGAGTACCTGCCTAGCATGTGTGGGACCCTGGGCATCAGTCTCCAGACCACAACAAACAAAGACATGGTACTTTAAAGAGTCTTAGCTAATGAAATTTAGGATTTGGAAAGTTTAGAAAGTAGAAACAGTAAGATGCTGGGCTGGAGAGATGGCTCAGTGGTTAAGAGCACTGGCTGCCCTTTCAGAGGTCCTGAGTTCAATTCCCAGCAACCACATGGTGGCTCACAACCATCTGTGATGGGATCTGATGCTCTCTTGTGGTGTGCCTGAAGATAGCGACGGTGTACTCACATACATAAATAAATTATTCTTTAAAAAAAAATCAAGATGCATGTTTTTAGTTCTCAAACCATGCGATCTGGGCCTCCAAAGGTAAGGGCAAGAAAATGATAGAAAATCCAATTCATAGGAGAGCATGGCGTGAAGGCGATGCCTAATCCCAGCTCTTGCATGCTAGAGGCAAGCGAATCAGGGGTTTAAGGCCTCAAGTATGTAATGAATTTGAGGCTAGCCTGTGCTCCATGAAATCCTGCATCCAACAAAACAAAACTAAAACTAAAAAATCTAAGGGTTGTAAGTCAAGAAAATTTCTAGTATAGTAACAAAATGCAACTTATAGAACTTCCAACACAAATCATTCTATATCCAAAAGTAAGTTCAGGAACTAGGCACTAGCACAGGTTTCAATTTTTTGTTTGTCTTTCCCCATGCTGGATGTCAAACCTAGGGTCTCAGGGACTCTCAGAAAGCACTCTACCAGTGAGCTACACCCTAGGATGTTTCAATTTTACTTTGCCCGGGCTGAACTCAAAGTTGAAATTGTCCTGCTTCAGTCTCCCAAAGAGCTGGGTTTAAAGACATTTGCCATCTCTCTCAGCTGGAAACCTCTGATCTTCAAAGGTTTGTCATGGTCAATTTCATTGAGCCAAGAGTGCCTCATTTCCCGGTAACTTTCACCCAGGCCTAAATTCTACCCATTAGCATTATATGGGATAAAACTAACCTTCTTTTAGGTCCTTCTCCTTTCAACTATCTGAAAACTATCTCTAAAGTCTCTTTCTCCAGAAGAACAAGAGAGAAAGGCATGCTCTTTGGAATCACTGCTGTTTACTGGCTCTACACTATGGTTCTGTCGTCTGGCCACCTTCCATGGTGGGCACTCCCATCTCTTGTCCGTCATGCTAGGAAGAGCTTCCAACTACAGGAAAGTAGTATACATATCTAGATTCATCAAAGTCATCAGCTACACACACACACACACACACACACACACACAGAGTTATCACATCAACTTCTGCATTTACCCTTTAAGACCAGATGCAGGGCTTGATGTGCTGCACCCTGTAGGCTCTGGCTCAGAATCCACCACTAGCCTGTCATTTCAAAGCTTTGCTGCTTAGAGATTTCAGGTTGGGTAACAGGCCCTGTCAACATAACTGCATTGTATGAGTTGAAAGCAGTTGAACCTTTGCAATGTGTCAACGAATGAATGTAAACCTATTTTGCTCCTGAACTGTGTTCTGAATGAATGGGGTTCTGGGTAACCCCTACCCCAAACCCAATCTCAGTTTTGGTTTCTGTCATTTTTTTAAGAGACATTCATTCTGTAGTCTCAGCCAGAGTCTGGGGTGACTTTGGATAGAAAAATAGTAAGACATCACCTGAAGTCAGGCAAGCTGATTCTTCTATTAACTGATCACTCTCTGGGCTGCTGCTTGAGTTCTAGAATGTGTGAATTTCCAGAGTGCTTTGCTGACATCATTCTGTCCCCCCAGGAGAGTGAGAGATTATAAAGGCACACTCTTCTGAAAACACTAAACCGTTGTAGGACCAGTGAGGTTGAAGGCACCTTAGTAACACCTCGCTTTAGAGCAATGGAACAGGCTCAGAGAAAAATGGTGGCTCCTTAAAAAGCACATGGCCAGTCTGCTTAGACTCAACAGACACAGGCTCGCAAAGTCCCTGGAAACAGCAGCCATAACTATGCTTTTCCAAACACTGTAGAACTAGAACAGGGGTACGGGCATCATGGCCACTCTGTGTTCATGAGGATGTGACTGAAGAACATAACCTGACTTCTCAGATTCTAAGTGTGCATACTGATTATAAACAGCAGTACACAAGAGTCTATGGTTCTCCTACCCCTAACTGCCCAGTGTGTGGAGGTCTGAACACTAAATCCAGGGGCTAAACAAAAGTCTCCTGGAGCCCGTGTGTACTGCATAGCTTTGCACACAGTACATTAGGTCCACGGAAGAGCTGGCTGTATAGTTCATGAAGTATTAGACACTAGGACCTACAATCTGTCGGGCAGTTTGAGAAGATACAATTTGTGTGCGCACATACACATAAACACACACAGAGGAAGTGACTTGAATACTTCAAAGCTCCACCATAAGGATGGTGTCCTGATAGGCTCTTACATCCACCTCCTAGCCTCGACTCTCACCAGCAAACACATAGGAAAGCATGGTACTTAAAAGTTAGGAGACCCACAAGCAAAGACACCCCAACAAACTCACACCAAACACCTTCTGAGAAAGTCCAGGAAGCTGGAATCGTAGGTTTTCACCACCATCGTGAGATCCTTGGAATCTGGGTATCTTTTTCCCCCTCTGTTGTTGGTTATATTTTTGGGAAGACCTTTGGAATCTTCAGAGAAACAGCATTCTGTATTTAGTTCCAGGCATATATATTCACCAATCACTTCCTAGCTGTCCACTCTATCCTGCTGCTTCCTGAAGGCCCCTCTGCAACTCTTTTGTCCCCTGTCTTATGTGCCTGCCCCATCCCACCCTTCTCCACCCATCCATTCAAACACATCATAGCCTCAGCCAGACTGAAATAGTCCACAGTGATCACAACTGATGCCAAATACAACTTGTTCTGTCTCCTCCCCACTTCACGCTGCCCATATCAAGCCCATGGTTTAAATCACTTGCCACTGACCAATGTTAGATGATATTAGAGATGCTAATGATAAAAATACATTTCAAATGTCCAAAGTATCCACTTCTAGGTAGAAGGATTTTGTATCTTTGTGGATTGTCTATGCCCTTGTTCAATCCTCATTAGCCCAATAAAGTAAAAATGAGGCCATTCATGGGGCAGAACAAAGCAAGACATTTTAGTAAGTGAGCTTTCATTTACAAACCACAGATGCCAATGAGCTTCCTTAATTCTTCAGGGTCACACCAAAGCTGTAGAAGACCTGGCTAGGAGTGGCCTTTCTTCAGCTCTTTCTGCTGAACGAGACCTTTGGCAACTGTGTGAAGTTCAGATGATTCTAAAGATTGCCTGAGGATGCTCTGTGAAATCCTTTGAAGGAGAAACCATTCAGCTGCACATTGAGATTCTTGTATGATGCTCAGAAGACCTGGCCACTTTGACTTAAACCTTGTAAAGCGTGTGAGCAAGATGAGTATTTACTATCTGTGTACTTCACTGTATTCTCAGAACTCAGTGATGTTTGTGTGATGGACATCATGGAGGCCAAATAATATTCCTCTGTTATTTTTCCCTCTGGTTTCACTGTGTGGCCCTGGCATGTCTGGAACTCAAAGACCACACTGTCCTTGAGCTCACTGAGATCCACCTGCCTCTGCCTCCTGAGTGCTGAGATTAAAGGTGTAGACCCCCATGTCCAACTCCATTCCATTCATTTTGTAACCAATGTAATTTTCAGAGCCTCCAAAATATCTGCTCTGACTGAATGCCTAGAAGCGAGACTTTCAGAAATGTGTGTATGGGAATTGGTGGACAAGGATGTCCTCTTGTGTTTACAAGGTTATGAATGGACCAGAATTGTACAGGGCCTGTAAACCCACACCACTCCTGTTTCCCATTAGAGGTAGTGCCTGCACTCATCTTTTCCCCATGTTGCTTTAAAGAAAACAGAAACAAGCAAAAGTAACAGGAGTAATCAGGCACGCATCCCTATAGTAACTTAGTGGCATTATGCAATTGTTCTTCTTGTCCAGTTTTTTTTCCTCTCCTCCGGTCCCAGTTCCTATCTAACCCTTCTCCTCCACTTCCTTTGTGCTACCTGGAGCACTTCTTACACTACCCTCAGGCAGCATCTCTTTCCTGGTTAGTAGGACTGTAACCCAGAGTAGCTGGGGTTTGGGAAACTGCTGAAAACCCAAACCAGGGAGAAGAGTCAAGAACAGCAGTGAAAAAGTGTTTCCCATAATCCCCTTGTCCAAAGGAGTCACAAAAAGCTGCCATTAGAAACACAAGACTCATGGGTCATAAAGGAGAATCATAGGAACCAGCATTTTGGTTGAGTACCCAAATGACCCTAAAGTTGGGCAACTATGGAGTAGATGCTGCTCCCTGTAATTTCAAGGAAGCCAAGATGTGGATGTTGCTATAAAAGCCTACCCCAACACCTAGGCATGAATGACGGTGGAACATCAGCCCTCTCTGGTGTCTTTCGATGAGGATGCTGTATTTCCCTATCCTTAATCCCCCACTGGATGCCATCTCATGTCACGTCTTAAAGGTTTAAGATGTGACTCTTCCCTGGTGTGATAGTCTAGCAAAAGGGAGTACCCCCTGTTCCCCATTATTCTTCCACAAAACTCTCCAAAGCCCCAAGGCTCAGTTCTCAACGCAGCTAGCGGGAAGAGCATTTGTAGTCAAAAGCCCAGCACATGTCAGTTCATCTGGGAACATGTCAGGCAGACGCTGTACTTGTCCTCAGAGTGTTTGAAGGGAAGGGAAGTATGAGAGTGCTGTACCCAGGAAACAAAGACACTGCCCTGCCCACAGGTAAGGGCTTCATAGCTCTAGCCAGGAATATGAGGTGACACTTGCGAGACTGAACGCCTGGAATGGCATGGACGGGACAGGCCAATCATAATGGAGTTCTTCTGGTTTCTGAGCCTTCAATTTTCAGTTTGTAGATCATGCAGAATCCAAGGAAACAGAGGGAGAGGCCAGGAAGTCAGAAGCCGTGGCTTGTTACTTGAATGGTGCAGACAGGAAACCAGTGACTGAAACAATTTTCTCTTAGTGACTCTCTTTGGGAATAATCTTAACTTTCCTGTTGATGAAGGAGGTTTAGAGAGATGTATGGTTTGCCTCTTTTCTTTCTTTTTCTTTTCTCTTTCTTTTCTTTCTTTCTTTCTTTTTTTTTCCTGAGGCTGTTCAGTCAAGAATCAGAAAGGACTAAGATGATCCAGATTGCATAGCTGGTGGAAGTCTCTCAGCTAGCCTGTCCACAGTGGCTGCTTAGCAATGCCCCTTGTCTGTGGAGTCTCTGCTCCTCTTTTGTTGTTGTTGTTGTTGTTGTTTGTTTTTGTTTTGTTTTGTTTGTTTGTTTGTTGAGACAGGGTTTCTCTTCGTAGCCATGACTGTCCTGGAACTCTGAGGACCAGGCTAGCCTTGAACTCAGAAATCTGCCTGCCTCTGCCTCCCAAGTGCTGGGATTAAAGGTGTGCGCCACCACTGCCCAGCGTCTCTGCCTTCCCTCTCCTTGGGTAACCCTCAGAGGCTGAGTTTGTAATGTGCTTGCTGTGCAAGCATGGGAACCTGAGTTCAGCTCTCCAGCCGTGTGAAAGGCAGATATGGCAGCACCTGAACTCCAGCACTGGGGAACAGAAATAGGAAGACCCCAAGAGCTGGCCGGCCAACTAGTATAACCAAAGTGTAGGCACTGGCTTCACTGAGAGAGGTATGTTTCAAAATTAAGGTGGAGAGCAGTGGAAGACAATACCCACTGCAGAGTAATTCCATCTAAGATGAACCTCCATCTCAGAGGGAAGCCCCCTAAGACTCAGGGTGTTCCAAAGTGGAATGAAGCATAGCGAGCTACAGCAAAGCTCATTAGTCCTGGAAGGTCACTCAGAAGCATCAGGAAGTCCCTGAAACCAATTGCTTCTCTCCCCAAACATATATAAGCTGTGAGAACTGCATAGAGATAACTTCCTTGCCAGGAAGAAGCAGAGATCAGCTGAGCTACCTGGAAGAGGCCCAGACCACTTAGGCTGCCTGAAAGAGACATTCTCCAACGTCTTGAGCTGCCTGCATCTTCTGCAGTGAACCTCAGATTTGCAGTTTTCACAAACTATCACCTGTGCTGGCCTTTGGTGATGCAGCTATGTTCAAGTCCTGCCTATCCTATAACCAGTGCATACCCATGTAGGTAACCCCAGTAAAACACATCGGATCACCAATTGGACTTTGCCACTATCTGTACTTTAGTCTGTCATAAGTTCCCTATCTGAAGTGAATAGATATTTGTTCACACCATCCCAGGAACAGTGTCACAACAGTAGTACCTGAAGATACTGAACTCTAGCATCCCTGTGCATACATGAACCCACACACACATACACCTCACCCCTGCACATGCAAACATACTCCTCCTCCTACTACTACTAATAATGGTAACAACAACAACAACAACAACGTACTCTCTGTTAATGGTAGACTATAACAGTAGAAATTCCCCACTGTGTCAGAAGTTTCTGCCCTGATTTCCCTGCACAATACAAGGCAAGAGAGGCCAAGTTGTTTGGGAGTACCCCTAGAAGAGAGTATGGTTTTAATCTTCCATGGTTGCGGTACTAGCTGACAGATCTGAGGAACAGGGTCTTCCATGCTCCTGGGTATTTTACAATTGAGATGCCCTTCCCACTGTGAGACACAATCTGTCGCACTAAGGACACCACTTATCATCTCCTCAGCTCCACACTACCCTGCGTTATAGGGCAGAAGAAATAAAAATCTGTCTGTCTGTCTGTCTGTCTGTCTGTCTGTATGTCTGCCTACCTGCCTGCTAGGGTATGGTAGGTGTCTTCAAGGCCAGGGCACATCACTGGACCCAACCGAACAAGAGAATAAGACTATGGGACTTACCAAAGAATATCTGTCTCCTGGAGGCTGTCTGGACAAGGTGGGCAGGTGGCAGGCCCAGCACCTTCAACAAGTACAGTGTGGCTGTGTCACTATTGCAGAGTCACAAATTCAAAGCCTGTCAAGATCTAGGTGGAACTTTGGCCAGATTTTGTCTTTTACATATAAGGACCAAGAGATTTAAGTAGCAGCATTAAATGGCAAGTTAGACCCAGAAACTAGGTTATAAATCCTATTCCAGGCTGCCTCAGTAGCCTAAGAATGAATACTAGCCATGCTAAACAGGTAAGACACTGTAGAAGGGTCCAAATCTCTGTCCGCCCATGCAGACCACAGAGAATGAGAAATGGCCTCTTCCAGCATGGAACACTGGGTTGGGGGTGGGGGTGGGGAGAAAGGAGATAAGCATCAGATCCTTAGAAGACAAAAGAACTTTCTTGGTGAGAATATTTAGCCCTGACTGTTCTCTCTGAAACTTACAGTGTATTAAACTAAGCCAGCTCACCCTCACCCCTGATTGGTAGGCACAGGCTTGGCATATCCCTGTCCTCCAATTCTGCAGCCCCTCAGAGTTCCCAGTAGGGAGCCCAGTGCACACACCCCAGTCTCCCAGGTGCTAGAATTGGGGGTGGTTCAGGGGCACTTCAGCCTTAGCAATACCCATCTGACCCTGATTTTCAACAGTCCACAGCAAACAATGTGGTATGCCATAAAGATATACCCAAGGCTGGACCCCTGCTTTGCTGATACCAAGACTTGTGTAAATTCCATCATAACTACCATTTACAGCTATTTTACCTATCTACCTTTTCAGGAGAAAGAAGCATAGCCCCCTGTGTTCTTTGAGGTAGATTTGGAGGGTAACAGATCACACCACCTTGAGTGTCATCATCATCATCATCATCATCATCTTCATCATCTTGGTGTATTTGAAAGACTATCAGCACAGTTTTATTTTAAAATGTCAATATTTACAGTGAGAGAAAGAGCACCACGGGCAGCTACTTAAATTATGATGAAAAAGTTAATTCTTGGCTCAGCAAAATCCAAGAGGTACATCATTTCAAAAATACTTTCAGAAGTGGAAGCGTGTGCATGGCACTGCCCTCGCTGGGTCTGATGAAACCCAGAGTCTGAGGATGGATGTTATCCCAGGAAGTCAGCCATGCTGGTGGCCAGCTCTCCCCCTCACCTCCATGATGCAAGCCAGCTGTTCCACCTCGTTCTCTCCAGGGAACAGCGGGTATCCAGTGTACAGCTCCGCCATGATGCAGCCCAGGCTCCACATATCAATGGCCATGTTGTAGGGGTGGCCCAGAATCACCTCAGGGGATCGGTAGAACCGGCTTTGGATGTATGTATACACTGTAGGGGGGAGGGAGAGAAAACAGAGCAAAGCCTCTCCAGACGCCTCCGGCAGGAACTAATTTAAAGCATCATCAGGTAACTAACACCCTCATAAAGGCCCCACTCTGTGGGCTTCTGAGGAAGAAGGAAGTGTGGATCCCATTCCATCCTCTACCAACAGACTAATCCTTCCAGCTGCTGACTGTAAATCCCATCTTACGGAAAAGGAACTCCAAAGGAGTAAATTCCAAGGAAATACATTTAAATCGCCTGTTTTAAGAATAAAACAAAATAATAAAAAGAAAGAAGAAAATAACAACCCCACCCCTCTAAGGCATTTTAAAACAGGAATTTAACTGGGTGGTGGTACACATCTGTGAGTCCAGCATCTGAGAGGTAGAGGCAGGAGGATCACTGGTTCCAGGCCAGCCTGAGATACAGAGCCAGATGCCATCTCACTTTTGTGAGACAATATTGGGGGTTTAGGTTCCTTTTGTCCCTAGGCTAATGAGTGACATATAGCTGGGACACACTCTCTAACTCAGACATGTAAAAGGCAAAGAGGCCGATCAATCACCATTATCAAGCACCATTGATCAATCAGATTAAATTCAGCGAAAGTTGATATGAATATGCTCCAGGGTTCCTTTCTAGGTTCTAGCTTGAAAAAGGAAAAAAAAAAAAAAAAGTACAAGGTCTGGAGAATGAATCAAAGGCAGTGAAATCTAAACTGGAGAGCGATTATTTTCTAAGTTGCAAACTCCTGAGCTGATGTAAGCTGGGTGCCTGGAAACCACAATGTTCATAAGCCCTGGAGTGATTGACTCTAAGCACTTCTAGTCAGTTTGGGGACCCAATGCTCAAGGATCGTGCCATAGCTTCGAACTATGAGAAGTTCAGAGAGTTAATATGTTCTTTAGATACAATCCTTTCCTTTTACAGATGAAAATCTCAGAGACATGAAGCACCTGGCTCCAAAGCCCTCAGTTGTGATGGCCAAGCTCAGACTAGCACCCAGGTGTATAAAGAGAGAGAACTTATAATGGCAGAACTCGGACTGGGTGGGGGAGGTGGCCTACCTTTCTGGTGTTCATAGCAGCTTGACCCAAAGTCAATAACTTTAACAGTGACTTGGCCCCGCTGGTATAGCACAATATTTTCCTGGAAAGAAGAAATATGTTTATTTAAGGTTTTTTTTTTATTAAAGTTTATTTAAATTAATGTCTGCTGGGCTTTCTCCTTACTGCTATGTCACTCCTGGATGTGGATGGTTCTGTTCAAATACAACCACCTCAAAAGCCCTCCTCTCACAATTTCTCCACATCCCATTGTCCTTCCTCTCTTGGGACTTCCCATTGACTTGTGGTCTTTATCTGATTTGACCCAGTATCTACTCGCTTGCGTTCCTTCGTTTGTGTATATTGTGTCTTTTCCCCCATTGATTGTATAAAAAACTTCTGATGATTATGATTTTATTTACATGTGCCTTAGTACCTGGTCCTATGCCTGGCTTGCACAAGGCTTTACAAATGCTGTTGGCTGAATATATGTAATGTTTATAAGAAATGCTATTGCTAGCACTCTATTATGGTAGTATAGAACCCATGAATAGATAGGTAAATAGATAGCAGACAGAGATAAAGATAGATGGATAGATAGATAGATAGATAGATAGATAGATAGATAGATAGATAGACAGATAAACAGACTGAGACTGAGCTTGGGGGTGCCAGGTGTTTAGTCAAGTCATGGTCAAAGCAGAGCTGGGCTCTTGTCTCAGTGTGACACTGTGCTTGCAAAGGCTAAAAGCATAATGTCCTAACTGTGTCTCAAGGGTCTCCTTTCAGAAGGTTGCTTATGGAGCTCTTAACAGGTACAAAGGCACAGCAAAGACAAATACAGAGCAAAGCCAACCTGAGACCTCAAATGAAGTACTTTTTAGAATCATGTTAACCCAGGGAGGATAGACAACAGAAGAAACCTTAAAAGAACAAGAATTTCTTGTGTATCTCCAGCCCAATGGAGAGGCTCTGTCACTGGATGGGGCTGGCCCTAGGCTATGCCTTGGATCTCACATATCTGCATCAACTTGTGTGCTGCAAACTTAGTTGCTGGCCTGCATCTATCGGGGGAGACAGAAGGAACTTTAGGAGGTGGGGTCTAATTGGAAGACGCTAGCTCATGGTGTGGTGGGCAGGCCAGGGCTGGCAGTGAAGGGAATTTTGAGAACTAGCACTTTCCCCCAGTTCTCTTCCTTCCTGGCCACCATGAAATGAATAGGTTCACTCTCCAGGAGTCCTCTGTCATGGACTCTGCTTTGCCACAGTTCCAAAAACGATGGTGCCTACCGACCTTGAGTTGAAGCCATCAGCCAAAACAAGACCTTTCTTTCCTCCTCCTTAGAAGCTGATTTCCATAAGTGTTTTGTCACAGCAATAGAAGACTGACAGACACAGCTGCCCCTTTTCCACTCTTACTAGGAGAGGGTTCTCTTAGAAAGGAGCAGTGCTATGGGAACTCAGAACTTGTGCACCATAAACACTAAAGACACAAGAACAATACCCTACTTTTTAATACATAGTCACAAAACGCCTTTCTGGTCTGTGTTTGACACTTGACTCATGTCTCAAAGAAATCTGTTACCTGATAATTTGGCCTGTGAAGACCTTGTGAATTCAGTCCCCTAAATCTAAAGACCATAGATAGGTATTATGGGACCTTTTGGAGTTGGAAAGCTGAGGATTTGGAACTCAGTGTGGTGAATAGATCAATCGATTTCCATTTTTTATGAGGCTCCAGTCACAACCGCATCTCTCTATCTTGAAAATCTTTAATCACAAAAATGTAATCCTTAGGCTTACAGTTTTCAAGAAGAAATTAGCCACATTTGGGGAGGAAGAGAAGAAAATAAGGGCCAATTAGGAGTAGTTGCCTATCTGTGCATCAGGCTGATTTTTGAACCAGCTCTTTATACCTTGTTCCAAGCTGCTGCTTTGAATTGACAGCCATTACTCATTTCACAATCATTTGCTGCCTTCTATTTCAGATATCAGGTTCTGTGTTATGTCCTGGGGACATAATGGGGAGACGAAGTGGTCCCTTTTCTGGGGAAGAAATTGTAGACTAGTGGGTGGCAGAGATCTAAGGAATAATTCCTAGCCAGGCACAGTGGTGCATGTTGGTAGTTCCAGCACTTGAGCAAGTAGAACCAAGAAGACCAGGAGTTCGAGGCCAGCCTCAGCTAGTTACGGTGCTTGAAGCCAGCATGAGTCATATGAAATTCTAGCTCAAAAACAAAAATAAAACAACAAAAGGAAACAAAACCCAAAGAAGCAATTACTAGATGAAACAAACAGTACAGTGACAGAACTATTTATATAATGCCAGCAAGGATGAGACTTGAATGGAGGACATCTGGCTGTTTATGTGACATGTCCAGGAGTCCACTAGCTTTAAATATGCAAAACATAATTTCAAGAGGGATGTGCTTACCTTTACACGTCGTGATGGGTCTTTCTAATATGAGTATGCATGACTTTCTCCAGTAAGATTTTACTGGCGTTGTTTGTGGAGACACGGTTAGAGAGTGAGCTCCAGTTCTTTGATTAATTATACAGTAATAAATATTGGGGGGAAGAGAGTCTAAGGCAAGGTGTCATGCATCCCAGGCTGGTCTTGAACTCTTGCGTAGCTGGGGCTGATTATTGAACTTCTGACCTAACACCACATCTAACTAACAAGAACATTGTTAAGGGCTACCATAACTGATAATTGGAAGTACCAACCGAGTAAATCTAGATTCCCAGGACTTTTTGTAAGTGTGCCTGGATGCTCAAGACACCAGCTACACCCTCACTTCTGTAGGAAAACTCTTCCTTCTCCTAGATACTTCAATATGTCACCTCCCTCTTTATGTCCCCAGTAACTTATACCTTGGTCCTCACTGCATCTCCACCTGTAAATGAACACTGCCTGGCATCCACCCTGGAAAACAGTGGTGGCAGCCAGCCCTGCCAGGTGGGCAGAGTTTGTACTCACTGGCTTGAGGTCACAGTGGATGATTTTCTCGACATAAAGCATTTGTAAGCATTTCAAAACGGAAAGGGTGAACCGCCGAACTATGGACAGACTGAAGCCTTGAAAACTATTGTTCTTCATCAACTCATACAGGTTGATTCTGGGACAAAGAGGGAGAGAAAGGGTGATGTAGATGGCTGTCAAAACATCATACTCAGCTTGGACACATGTATAACCCAGGCCGCTTGGTTTCCCTCTAATATCAAACAAACTGCAAGCCAGGAGGCAAAGCTGCACACACTGCCATAGTTTCTCCAACTTTTGGATATGACCCAAGGAGCCCTCAACAAAGTAGTCACTCCAGTCCTAGCCTGTAGTCTTTGCCAACTACTTCAGAGTCATGACATGTATGGAAAATGAGGATGGGCCAATGGAAGCTCAGGCAAACCAGGGATCCCCCACTTTTGTAGATTACCAAAGGTAACTGTGGCTACTTGACCCCTTCACTGTGCTCTTGAAAGAATGAAAGCTGCCCCTCCTTGTACCATCCTCATGGTTCTCTATAGGAGCAGAAATATGCAACATTCCATAAAGCCATACCGTATGGTATGAAATCTGCTGACTTAAAAGTCTCGAAAAGGGATGCTAAGCATTTAAAAAAAGAAACACACATTTGTGATCTGATGATAGGTTTTGTTTTCTGTGCAGCCTTCAAGATGGGGACAGAAAGGAAAGAACATGTGTCAATACCTGGCCACTTCCTTCCTCTCTTTCATTTCTAAGGGTATCTGTCTGTGGCAACATTTAGGAAACCATCCATTCTTGGTGGAACAGTACAGATAGAAAAGCTGATTCTAGATACTACGACCTTTGGCCTTCAGCAACTGCCCCAACATAGCTGGGTTTCTCATAGTTCTTCTGAGTGCAGTGACATCCTTCCTGGACACTGTGATAACTGGGTAAGAGAGGCAGTCTATCCTATCTGTTTTACCACAGTGTGCACACTGCAGAGTAGACTACACTTTGCACATAGAGAAGGTGAACAGCATGTCCACTCGCCTGCTGAATGGTGCAGGTTTCCTAGCAGTGTCAAGAAAACATCAAACTACTAAATCAATGACCCAGGAACACATGACCATGGAGGGCTCTGTTCATCATACTTAGTCATTTGCTGCCAATCTATATAAATCAGGGTCCTGTTTTCTTACATAAAAATATTTGTTCTTGCCTTTACTCAAAATCAAAGTCCTTTGTGCATCTAAGTAACCAGTTGCCTGTGGTTCTGTGTTCTAATCTCTGCTCAGCAAGACTGGAAAACTGGGACATGGGGACACAAGAGCAAAGCAATGTCTTTTACAGTATGTTTGTTTCCATTTCGATCGTGAGGGCAAGGGCTATGTGCTATGTCACCTACTCCAATACTCAGCATCTGGAAAGTCCGCAGATGCATTTAAGCAAGCAGGTGACAGGCTTTACTGAGGCATGGGGTAAGATGTCAGCTTCCAGTCTCATCTCCCTTTCTATCTGAGTGGCTTCTATGTCCACTTCAGTCATTAAGTACCACATCCAAAAAAACCTTGTATTCCAACCTCAGAGTTTCTCTTCTGGCACTTATGCAACCATTTAAAATATAACAAAGAAAAAGCATCTGACCCCAGGAGTTCAAAGGTGATACAGAGGTGATTCCGGAAGTAGAAGAAGTCCTTCATGTGGACCACATTGTGGGTGTTGTCTTTGTCCTTCCTTCTGAGGGCCTCCAGGATCTTCAGCTCCACTAGAGCCTGATGATGAAATCTGAGGTGATTGGGAAGCGACCAAGGTGGTGGACAATGAGGACAGAAAATGTACATCATGTCACAGTTTTGCAGACAACCTGAATCCCACCCCAGGGCTCAAGAATATCTAGGATGTTGGAGTGCATCCCACACTCCATGATATCAGACAGTTAGGGAAACAAGAGAAGACAAAGAGATTTGAGAAGAGCAGTGGCAGAGAGTTGGCTTTTGGAGAGAGCTAGAGAGTCACACAGTCCAATTCCCATGTCCTATGTTGCCTGACAAGTCACACCTCCTTTTGTTCCTGATGATTTTCAGGGCCACCAACTCATTGTTTTTGTGATCCAAGCACTTGGCCACCTGTCCAAAGGACCCTTTCCCAATCATCTCCAGAACCTCATATCGGTAGGCAATGTGGTCATGCAGGACCTGCAGAAGTCGGGTCAGCAGTGAGGGAGAGAATGATGAGCTCCTGGATTCACCTTACCCCAAAGCCCCTAGATTTTGCTACCCAGATCCTGGCCCACTCTTGGGAGGAGAATGGTTCTGGACTCCTACTCTCAACTTATCGCCTCATAAATGGTTAGGCTGTTTGGATCGCAGATCACACATATGGTACCAGGAAGTGTCCCAGAAGGCTGAATCCATGTCTCATAGTGTAAAGACCATGGGGTGCTCTTTGGGGGAAACTTGTGTTTCTGCATGATTAGGACCTACAGCAGAAAACGGATTAGCTCCATGCTGACTCTTGCTATGCCTTAAATATACATAAAGGAGCTTGCTGTCTGCTTTGCCATTTCTTGGCCAGACATCTCCTCCTCCATTTATATAGATTTAATTCTGTCCTAAGAAAGTAGTGCAGAACTTAGGCCTTTTTTTGAGCAAAAAGAAAACATATCTTCAAAAAGACAGAATCATCTCCCAAGTCTCTCTAGGAAAGCAGAGAGCAGGCATTCAGTCAAAGCCAGATGAAGTTGTTGATTGAAGACTTGAGCTCAAGGGCTTCAGACGAGCCAATTGCTCAGTCTGAGATAAAGTGCTTTCATCTATAAAGGCACCAGATGCAGAATAGATGGTGTCTGGGGTCCTCCAGCTGTGCGAATCTCTGATTTCTAGTGTCAAACTTATGAGTCTGGGAGGACAAAGGACGAGTGTTCCATGGATTTCATGATATGCTTTGTGAATGCATACGTGATGGTGATTATGTTCCTATGGAAGGAATCAACACCATGAATTTAAGCACGTGTGATTTCACCAACATGGAAAGGGGCCCATTTACTGATAAAGGCCTGTGATGAAATGGAATAGAATCTACAGACATGCTCATATAAATGTGTGTACACAGTATCATGACTTTCCCTTTATCTGCTCCATGCCACTGGTTTGTTTGACTCATCCTTGCTTTCATGTCCACTGTGACATTAATTACAGTTACCTGAATAATCACAGTACACTTGTGGGTGGTTGATTGTACTCTGTATATTTACAGAGTCTAGAAGATGCCCAAGCTCATGACAGAGGAGCAGTAAGTAGGTATATAAGTACCAAATGTTGGCAGAATAAATGTAGGATTGTAGCTGTGTAGCTTATTTGGGTATTTGATTGTGTGTATGTGTGTTTATGTGTAAAATGAAATAAAGATGCAGGTTGGAACTTAGAGAGAGCACCATTAATAACCTCCTCTCCACTGCCATATCAAAAAAAAAATCTCTAAGGCTTGACTGAGGTCCAATGAGTGCATTCTCTTAAGATCTGGCTAATTCCCTCACATGAAGCTGGAAAGATCAAGAAAGACATAGGCAATGGTATCTGAAAAAAAAACTTGTATCAATGATTTGTAAGTTGTAAGCAAGGGCCCATTAATCCTGCACCTTTCTGTATATTCAGATTACTTTGGGGCTGGGGCTGGGGAATGAGTACCTATTCTTTTCTCAGACTTCCAAAAGAATTCATAACATTGTTGAGTACCTGGCCTCTCATGGAGTCTGTACCCAAACCTACATGACTGTTTCTCTAAGTGTGGTCCGGCTGATGGCTTGGGTATCATCTATAATTTGTGAAATCCCTTATCATCATATCTTGCTAGGTAAGAATCTGTACCTTAAGAAGATCCTCAGTTGATCTGTGTGCACAGTAGCATGAGAAGCAGGGCTTACATGCCATTAAGAAAATGTACTGTTTCTAAGAAGCCATCAAAGACTCTCTTCTAAAGACAAGTTACAGTGAGAAGTTAGATAGCCACAGCATGGCAGATGAAATATCACCTTCACACGTGATCAAAAGTAGGGACCACTGCCCTGATTCTGCATTCAGGCTGAGAGAAGGACCCCAGAGCAATAATAAGAGAAATGGAAGGGGAGCTGTTGGGTTCAATATTTGGAAAACAAAATGAAGTATTATGCACCTGAGACCACAAGAAACAAAATCAGTTGTTTGTTTTGTTTCTGATGTGAAAATGACAGTCTATAAAATAGGGAAAAAGTCCACATATGGGGTTTGTATGAGAGAGAATGGGAAAGAAAACACTAGAGTGACCTCTTACTCCTTTCTTAGTGGATCCAGGGTTATTGTGGGAAGCCTGTGGTAGTTCACATGGTATACAAATATAAACCTGTTGCCCCAGCATTCCAATAATGGAGGGTATGTACAATAAACCCCATATTTTCCTGAGTTTTTTGTTTGTTTATTTGTTTTTTTTTAAATCTGGCATCTCTTTTAGGACCCATTAGAATCCTTTAGGAAATCTATCCCATAGTGCATCAGTACAAAAATATTGTAAAATATCCCCTCTCTGTTTTCCTCCTGGTACAACCTCCCCACCCACACCCACGTCCCCACAGTGTTCCCCTAACCCCGTGTCCCCACAGTGTTCCCATAACCCAGCACCTTCATATAGGAACCGTGCTCGTCATCAAAGCTTGTCTTGCTGAATTTCTCTGGAATCACGTTGAGCTTGTTGGCTTCAAGCCCCAGGAACCACAGCTCTGAGTAGCCCAGGATTTCACTTTGCTCATAAGGGGACAGCTGATTCTTAAAAAACTTTAGGGCCTCTGTATGTGAAAAGCATCACCAGTTCAGTTGAGTCACATGGACATATGACCCCAGCACAGATTCTTCCAAGTTCAGGGGACATCTTCCCAGCAAGTTGGCTTCCTAAGAACGACTCACCCGATGGCTCACCCATGGAAATGATAACAGGGAGAAATACCAAGGAGGATTTAGCAACCAAAGACTATGAGCTGCCACAGCATGGGTAACACTGAAGCAACAGACTAGTGAAGGTGCTATTTGTCCACGCTACACAAGAGGATTTGAAAATGATGTTTATTGGAGTCAGACTAGTAGTGGAAACATGACTTTAATATAGCATCTGTCCTAACCGGTTTCCCCACTCAAATCTGTGCTAAGGATGCCCGCCAGCATCTCAAGGCACAGGGAAGAACCTATCTGTGCTAGATAGATCACAGCAGGTGTGTGTGTGTGTGTGTGTGTGTGTGTGTGTGTGAGAGAGAGAGAGAGAGAGAGAGAGAGAGAGAGAGAGAGAGAGAGAG